GTCGTTGCCAAGCGACGAAAACCCAACCCCGATTGGCAAACACCGAGGGGGGGGGGGGGGGGTCGCTACAAAACAACAACAACGACGGCGTGCCAAAGAGAGTTGATAGACAGAGCACATGTCTCTTCCTTCGTGATACCATCGTGGAGCGGCGGGGTTTTCCGCGAGAGTACTTGTGCACGCCTTCGAGGTGTTTATATAAATCCCGCAGAAAAAGGCCCACCGAATGAATGGAGAGGAGGGAGAGGCAACAAACCTAATGCACAGAACATCACACATGCAGTATCACCGTGCCAGTGTTGAGGAATTAAAACGAAACGAAAGGGAAAGGACTTGAGACGTTCAACACACGGAGCGTTCCAAGATCGACGCCAGGGAGAGGGAACGGAACAAAAAAGAAGAACATCTACCCCCTCCCCCGCCCGGCCTTCTGGGTGTTTGCCATCGGGGTTGGGTTTTCGTCGCGTGGCAACGACGTTGTAAAACAAGCGCCCCCCCCCGGTGTTTCCCCCCCCCGGTGTTTGCAATCGGGGTTGGGTTTTCGTCGCTTGGCAACGACGTTGTGAAACAAGCCGCCCCCCCCGGTGTTTGCCATCGGGGTTGGGTTTCGTCGCTTGGCAACGACGTTGTAAAATAAGCCCACCCGTCGGTGTTTGCCATCGGGATTGGGTTTTCGTCGCTTAGCAACGATGTTGTAAAACAAGCCAATTCACTTGGTGAACTCGGCAACTAGGTTACCGCTTTTTTTTTACCTCTGTTATTTTTTTACGGTAACCCTAATGGTGGTCGAGTAGATCATGTTGTGCGGAGTGGAGAAACCTCACTCCGCGCAAAGGGGGATAATCGCACCACGTTGTGTTAACATGGACAAGCATCCTCGAGGCAGTTACACAGTGCTTACAACTGTCTCTGGAAGTGATAGCACCAGAAAATAAATAAAGTCATACTGTACGCAGCTGTCATCCGGACGCAAGGAAGTAAGCACAAGATGCCGAACACCCTTAGCAGGATGCAGCGCACCTTTCATGCGACTCGCCGAATACCTCACGGCGCTTCGCGCTTGGTGATGTGAGAGCCCGGTCCGGTGAGAACCCGGCGTGCTCCGTCCCGGCTTTGTAGGGATGCGAGGTCAATGGTCTAACGACTACGGCATGCACGACTATGAGCACCCCTCCCCCCCCCCCCCCGCCTTCCATGGCAAATGAGCTGGAAAGGAGTAAAGCGATAACGATAGGGTAGATAGGGTTGCGAACACATATTTGAGCCACCTATAGTAAAGTAGGAAGGAATGATTGTCCATCGGTGATCGGTCCTGAGGGAACAACGCCCGGTCCTCTCGAGGGCGCGTGCTGAATTGTCTCTAACAACTAACGCATACAAATCACGAGTACGCCGCCCCCCCGATACAATGTGCGATGCACGAGGGAGACACGATGTTCATGTCGCTTTTAGGGCAAAGGGTTCGGGTTGGGGGCTCACCTGGGGCTTCCGAGCCACCGGCGGCGGAGGCAGAGGGCGCCGGGGTTGAAGATGTCGTAGTGCGAGCAGAGGCTCTTCATCATGCCGTCCCGTGCCGCCACTTCCCGCTCCTGCAAAGCAAAAACAACACGTGTTTGCAGACACGTGGCGGGCGTGTGCGGGCATACCGTGAGGCCAGACGAGTGAGCCACGCACACATGCCAAGCTAGTGACGGTGCTACAAGGTGCACAGCAGTGCGGCGGAGTACAATGAAAGCATTGGTAAGTGCACGCAAGGAGGAATAGTTCGCGGGGAGCTAGATAAGTGCACTGCTGCGGTGCCGGGAACTATCCGAAGCGCATCTTCGCCAACACTCATAGACTAATAGAGCAACAAATGAGCCCGAACAAGAACAAAACTACTGGAGAAAGCCCAACCATTTGCTGGTTGGTTGGTTGCCCCTCACTCCCTGGTCCAACACAAACAAAGCACACTACTATCAAACCCCACCCCGTCCCCCTCCCCTCTTTCCCTCGCTTCGTATCCCATACGTGGTTCATGAAGTACACACTCCCGGCGTCCTTCCCTACCTCCCTCCTCAACTAAAAGTGCTTCGGAAGGGTGCAATACGACGACCGATTCAAAGCTTTTACCTGTTGGGTGAGCTGCGCTTGGACGCTGCCCTGCTCCCCCTGGAGCCGGTCCTTCTTCTTCTTGGCGGCCTCAGCCCTCTCCCTGCACCGGTCCGCCTCGTCCGCGTAGAACTGAATCTCGTCCGCCTACTCCATCGAGAAGCGATTCATGTACCGCAGCAACAACACCGACAACAAGAGCAGCAGCAGCAGCAGCAGCGCCGCCGTCACCAGATTAGGGCTGATCGTCGAACAAAAACAATTATCACGCAGGCCTGCTAAACGAACGAAGAAATGTGCCCAACGACTACAACGACAACAACAGCTGCACACCACGAAAACGAAACGGTCTTTATCGACGAGTAATGAGGGAGTGTCAACACGATACGCCAGGAAAGCAGCCAGCAACAACCTACTACACGCACTTGAAAAAACAACAAATAGATGGAGGAATGAAAGCATGTCCATTCGTCCAAACAACAACTCACGACAGCAGCGAGCCTGGCGTCGAACTCCTGAAGGTTCTTGCTTAGCGTCTCGTCCGACTCGGAGCTCATCTCGCCGTCGCCGATGTTCTCTCGCTTCTCGGCCATGCGCACGTCCAGGTCGCGGCACGCCAGCAACAGGGACTGCTTGCGCCCCTCCAGCATCCGCACCTACACAGAGGAGAGGGATACCGTAAAACGATACTTTCAGAACAGAAAAACAAACGCCTGCTTCCTCCGCGGGGAGCGTGGTTTTCTCTCCGGACTCAGGACTGTTGCTGCACTACACGCGTTAGAAAAATAAAATAAAACACAAAGAAGTATAAATATATGAAAACGAAAACATACAAACCTCGTCCGCCACGGCGCGAAGCTTCTCGAGCGACTCGGACAGCTCCGCGGTGCGCGCGTCGATCGCCTCGATCTCCTGGCGAAGGGTGCTGTACGTCTCGGTAGAAGCGTCCATCTCTTCCTTGAGGTCGTTGGCCGCGCGCAGCCTCTCTTGTAGTGCGGCGAGATCGACCTTCAGCTCCTGAAGCACAGAGGCGAGGCGAGGTAGACGACGATTGCAAGGAAAACAAAAGGAGTGAGACATCGTACAGGCGCAGTCATGTGTGTGCGGGGCTAGGTGAGACACGTCTACCTCCGGATTGATCCCACACGAAGCAGCACGGACCAGAGCCCCGTTCCTCCTCCTCTCTCTCTCTCTCTCTCTCTCTCTCTCTCTCTCTCTCTCTCTCTCTCTCTCTCA